TGGATGTTCGATTCTTGTTTTGATTGTCTTTTTTTTTTTTTTTACTTTAATTTTGAGAGAGAGGGAGAGACAGAGCATGAGGGGGGGAGGAGCAGAGAGAGAGAGGGAGACACAGAATCCAAAGCAGGCTCCAGGCTCTGAGCTGCCAGCACAGAGCCTGGCATGGGGCTCAAACTCACGAACCGTGAGATCACGACCTGAGCCAAAGTCAGATGCTTAACTGACTGAGCCACCCAGATGCCCCTTGATTAATTGTCTTTAGGTGTTTGTTGTTTGCCTAAGCTAGACAACTTGAGGTAAACTTCAGAGAAATTGGCATAACAGACAATCCTCCAGTTTATTATTCTGTGGGGATAATACAAGGGACACCCCCCCCGCCCACGCCGGGCATATGATTATTGAAACAGCTGGACAATAGATAGACTCCCCAACAATTTTGTAACTCAGCAGTCACTTTGATCAATTCTCTGTGGCTAGGGAAATAAAATCACTCCCTAAAAGTCAAAGCATACCCCACTCCATGGGGTTAACTGTGAACTGATGGAGATAATAGATGGCCCCAGTCTCCTCGTGACTGGATTGGATGATGCACTTGGGGATGCCCAATTCCCAGGCAGGTCTTCTCCCGCTTGCTAGTGACTCCTCGTAATTAGGAGATTGTGCGGGCTAGACCTAAAACAAACAAGGCTTCTTAGTGGTTTTATCCCTTAGCCTTATATATCCTGGAAAGCACCTCTATAGATGTAAAATTACAAGTAGAGCCTTTAGCCACGCATACAGTGGCTAAACCAAACCCAATACGAAGTCACCCCAGTACCAGCACATAAAGGGATATTTCTACTACTAAAAAGAATGTTTCTTTCTGGCCTGCGGTAAATGTTACATGCAACTCACCAGAGAACTTTCTTTTATCCTCAAGCTATCAAAATTTTACCTGAATATGCCAACCCATAGATAGGCTCCCGACAACAAATTCCTCGAGTATGTAGTCCTTCCTATGGAAACACCCAGGAAAGATGACATCAAATATGGGACATATCTGTGGCTTACTCCCACAACAGGACAACTACATCAAAAGGCCCTTTTATGCTGGGAACAGAAAAACCATCCCCTTGGTTCATGGCCCAATAGTACTTGCCAGATGGGATGGATTGATCCTTCCAGAAGCCTGGGACCTTGCCATTATTTTACAGGCAACCGATTGGTTGCCGCTGTCTGGACAAGGTGACCAGATGTCAGATGGCTAGCAGCTGATGGGATACAATGGTTATGAGGGCCAAATTTGCGACCATGGTTTCCACCAGGCTGGATTGGAATATGTGATCTAGGGTATGCTTGGAGGCACAGCCATAACACTAAATCAGTCACAAGCCCGGCTAATCTTCCACATCTAAAACAATGATGGACACGATCCATGTTCCATTGGTATGACCATCTGACATCTATTTTTCTTCAATCGGTAGTTTTAGAAGAAGTCATGATGGCACACGGAGGCCCTTGATAAATACACAAGATGTCAAGTGACTTAAAATAGCATTTACTAAACACTAAAGTAACTTAAATGTGTAAAGCAGTTCTACAAAATAGAGTGGATTAGATGTCTTCACAGCAGCACAAGCTGTTATTGAAGTGGAATGTTGCATCTTCATTCCAGACCGTAACAAAAATACATCAGGATCACTTACAGATATGAATAACCAAATTGGTGCTCTGGAAGACCCTATGTTGTCACTTAATGATTGGTTAAATTCCAGGCTGGGAGGTGGAGCATGGTCCATGCTACAGGGTCTTTTTATCACACTTCTTATTCTCATTATAGGGTGAACCCTAGAGGCGCCTGGGTGGCTCTGTCGGTTAAGTATCCAACTCTTGGTTTTGGCTCAGGTCATGGTTACACGGTTTGGGGGAGTTCGAGCCCCCCATTGGGCTCTGATGCTAATGCCATGGAACCTGCTTGGGATTCTCTCTCTCTCTCTCTCTCTCTCTCTGCCCTTCCCCTGATCACACTGTCTCTGTCTCTCTCAAAAATAAATAAACTTAAAAAATATGAATCCTAATATGTTTTCTCTTTCGCTTTGTTCTCTCCTATTGCTGAGATACATGTGAGCAGTTCCTGATTCCTTGGCCCAGCTCACGGATGATCAAATCCACTCAAAAACAAATCCACCCTAATGTCCCTTCAGTGGCCTTCTGGAATAGTTACTTGTTGGGACAGATAGTGACCAATTTCAGTCCACAGGTAGGGACATCTCTACAACCCTGTCTGCTTGAAGAAGTTACAGATGATGAGCCCTTTGCCTTTCAACAACCTTAAAGATTTAAGGACCAAAAAATGGTTAAGGGGTGTGTGTGTGTGGGGGGGGGGAATGATGAAGGATAGAAGCAGAAAAATGTTCACTTTGAGCCCAGAAGGCTGACCTATAGCCTGCATAGTTTTGGTAATGGCTGAATGCATGCTGGTGGCTACATCCTTAAAGGATCTCACGACAGCCTGTAAATTTCACTGATAGTTAATATTGAACTGAATGATAAGCACCAGAGAAATCTTGCAAAAGTAGTCTTACTACTACTACTAGAAATTCAAAGAAGACATTTGTGATCTAATGTTCCCTGCACATTCTCGCCCCCTTAAGCACTAAGCATGCAACCACAGCATCCTACAGCAAAAGTGCCTCTCTTTCTGCCCACAGGTCCTGCCCCGGTGCTGTGACATCTCAAAAATTCTTTCTTGGGGCACCTGGTCGGTCTAGTCAGTAAAGCATGCAACCCAGGACTGTGAGTTCAAGCCCCACCGTGCTGGGCCTGGAGTCTACTAAAAAAAAAAAAAAAAATTTTTTTTTTAATTAAAAAAAAAAAGATTTCTTTCTTGACTGTCACCCTCAAAGATTCCCCCAACGTTTTTCTTCCCTGCGGCCAGAGCCAGCCCACTCGAATGCGTCTGAAAGCCTACTCCCCTTCCTTCTCCTGTCTCATCACTCACTAGGTTCACAAACAGCCCAGTGCTTGGACTGTTCTGGTGCACTAAGATTTCCTTCCCGACTGGTAATTAATCCTCTCTGGGATGCCTTCTCTCACACTTGCTGGCCCCTCAGGCCAATTTTTTTTCTTTTTCTGTAAAGATTTCCCTTAAACCCTGCCACCCCTGCCCAAAAAAGTGTGTCTCTTGTGCGTGACACACTTCTTCCACTTGGTGCTATGCTGTATAGCGACCGCCTCTCTGTATTTGCCATTATTTGTTTCCACGTTTGTTTGGTTCTCCTAGTAGACTGGGCTGTTTGATGGTAACAGTTGTGCTTTATATAGTTCTCATTGCCTGGCTCCTATTAGATGTTTAATGTCTGATGAGTGAAGGAAGGGATGAAGGAAGTGATGAAGCAGTGATGAAGGAAGGAACCCAGAAGCAACAATGAGAGGCGCCTGGGAGGCTCAGTTGGTGAAGTGTCCAACTTCAGCTCAGGTCATGATCTCGTGGCTCGTTCGTGAGTTTGAGCCCCGCGTCAGGCTATGTGAGGACAGCTCCGAGCCTGGAGCCTGCTTCAGATTCTATGTCTCCCTCTCTCTGCCCCTCCCTGCTCACACTCTGTGTTTCTCTCTCTCTCTCTCTCTCAAAAAGAAATACACACACACACACACACACACACACACACACATATATAATGAGAAGCAACAATGAGAAGAAAGGAAGGAAACTCCTGCGTCTGAGAAGAGGCACAGCAGCTACAGTGGCCCCCCAAACTGGCTCTGCTCCACAGGAAGAGGTTGGGGTCAGAGAAAGTCACACTCTAAAGCTGCCAGAGAAGAGAGGGAACTCCGGGTGGGGAAGAAAATTTGAAATGCCCTTTTAATCACAAGGATAAAGAATTAGATGAACCAGTCCTCAGAGAAATCCATCTCCCTTGCGGCGCTCACAAGGGGTAAAGAGGGGAGGTCTGTCCACATAACCACAGGCTCAGTCCCAGCCTCAGAAACGGTATGTCCCGTAAAGGTTGATCAAGCGATAGCCTATAGGAAGTGTCCCAGCGGTCACCACGGATTGCTCCTGCCACAAAATAGTTCACCAGCTTCCAGACTTTTGGTCCCTGCCTATTGGCCTGTCCACCACATTCAGAGTCAGGCAACAGAGGGAGAGACATGGGCCTCTAGAAGGCCACTGCTTACGTGCATATATTCCTTGAGGGTACTAGACCACCGGATGTCTAAAAACGTCAAATAGATTTGATTTCTACCATTAGCTCCTGCAGTTAATTAGCTAATTATCACCTTAGCGGGCGTGAGGGCTTATTTCAAAGGGGATGAGGCATAGGATAAGATTTCGTGATAGGAGACAATAGCACACAGGAGACATAGCCTTCAGGGCCTGTGAAGGGGAAGTGGGGCCACCAGATTAGGGACACCGCCTGGTGCTTCTCTGCACCTTCTCACTTAATCCTCCCAACATACGGTGAGGCAGACAGTTGACCTTTATTGAGTCTTTAGTCTATGCTCACTTTACTTGAATTCTCTCCTTTGGTCCTCACAACCCTAGTGAGTTTAAAGACCAGAAAGCCAAGACTTAGAAAAGTTAAATCTGCCCAAGGTCAAGCAGGTCCTAAGTGGTATAGCTGAGATTCGAACCCAAGTCTGTCTTCGTTCTCGACCACCGTCCGACACAGCCTCTTATTGTTGTCTGAGCCTCGGAGTAGTTCTGACTTGCTTGAGGCCACACAGCTAATCATGGCAGGCCTAGGGTTTCCATCTGGGCCTGTGTGCTTACCAACCGACACGTTTTACACTCTATAGCCACATAGGTAGGTGAGGATTGCAGGAGGCTTGAGTACGCCTCCCAGAGGGAGAGTCACAGGACACATTTCAAGTAGATCCTAACTTTCCCTTCCAGGAACTCAGCTGTATACGGTCTCAGGTGGTCCGCGAATCTACCTCTCACCGATCCTGAGCACTCCATAGGGAACTCAAAGGGAGCCAGAAGTCATTTGACACTGAACTTTATTTGTTCTGACCGTCTGATATACCGCCCACCCTGCTGGGAAGCAGGGACAGTGCCCTGGGCTAAAGGCAGGGAACATGCCAAACTAAACACAGGGGCCAGGCCTCGAGAACAGCCCTGGAACACAAGCTCTGCGGCTGCTGGTCAACTGCCCAGTCAGGTCTCCGCTCCTCCCAGCTCTAAATGGGTGCTGATTCTTCCAATGGCTGTCAGAGCTGCACCCTGGAGACCAATAACAGACTCTGGTATCCAAAGCCTTGATTACAAAGAAATACAAGTCACCCAGTAGTTGGTGAGAATCTAATTCTCTCGACTGGCCGTGACCACAAGAAAACGGTGGGGCGGCTCAGAGACGGGAATTGGGAGTTTGCAGTACCTAGCAGGCACGGGCTGGCAAACGGATCCCGCCAGGGAGGCCCTACAGGAATGACTGCAGTTGCCCCGGACGCATCTTCCTCGGAGCCGTTTGGGCCGCACGGCCAGCACTGAGCGAGCAAGGGCTTGCTCCCCAGCCGCCTCCTGCCACCCACTCGGGCTTTTTCGTCACTGCAGACCTGACTCCTTCAGACCCCACGGTGTGGCTGCATCCCAAAGCTGGTGAAAGGGATTCCCACCCCCGCCCCCCAGTCAAAAAGAAATCCTCTCCCTTCTCCCTAGTTTCTAGAAAGAAGGAGGCCCCAACGAGGGCTCAAGAGTATGTGAGGCACGAGAGAGGAGAAAACACGGCCTAGGGTGTCCAGCTCTCTCCACGGGCCATGACCGAGACCACGGGACTCCGCTTTGCTATTCCAGCACCGGCCACCTGGGGGCGCCCTGGCTCCAGAGAGTCAGGCGCCTGGCCCTGGCTTCGCTCCCCGCGAAGGCTGCGAGCTGGGAACCCTTGCCCAGCAGGCCCCGGGGCAGCTCCGCTTCCCGGGCACCTGAGGGCGGGCTAGCGCACCACGAGGTCTCGGGTTTCAGCGGAGGGCAGTCGCCCCGTCTAAAGGCTTCTCTGTTCCTTGGAATTGTACAGAATGTCTCTTGTGGCTTTTCCTCCTCCCTCCTTTTTTCCTGTTGACTCTCCCCATCCGGCTCTCTGAATCACCAGACTCCGCAGGAAAGCAGCAGATGTTGACTTTACTTTCTGAAGCCAACGTCAGCTCCCTCCTGCGGAGTGGGGGGGCGGGCGGGAAGGTGAGGGGCAGGCGAAGGGAGGATAGTGGACCCCATCTTTTCCAAACCTGCGGCAGGGGGTAGGGGGAACCTGAAAGGAGTCAGGAGCCCTGGGCAAGAAATTCTTGATTCCTAGGGCTAAGGAAAATGGGGCCCCAAACCAAGGTGTTGGCCCTGGAACCGGCCGGCGAGAAGGGAAGCGGGGTGGGGTTCTGGGGTTCGGGCCGGCCCTTCTGGTCTGAGGTAAGGCCTCATCTCTCGCCAGCAGCATCCTCATGACTCAAAAGTCAAGTCAGGCTGCAGGTCTGGGGAAGACAGTCTAGAGGCTTCTTCTTGTCCATCGGGGTCCGCGAACCTCAGGTCTTATGCAAGTCTTTTGGAGAAACTGCCAAGGAGGACTTTCCAGGGCTTTATTCCACAGTCATTGCTCCAGTTTCTCTTCTCTGTTTTCTTCCTCAGGGATTTTCTTCCGGGCAAAGAAGCCAAGCTGTAGAGGAAGAGATAAGCGCCATGGCCAAACGCCCCGCCGGACACCCTGCCAACAGACCTCCGACGTATCTGAGGTCTTCGCTTTTGTTTCGCTTCCAAAGATGAGCTTCTACTTTATTTTCTTTGGCTGAGCCTAATTCCACCAACGTTTGTGGAGTGGAGTGAGCGAGAGGCAGGACACGCACAGCCTGCTTGGCGGCCCGGCACAGAGCCAGTCTCCCTGCTCTACCCTAGGGGGCCCGCATCGTGCCCCGGACTTCCGGCTAACGCAGCGCGTACCTTCCAAAGGCAGAAGACGAGGAGAGCAAGCAAGAGCAGCCCCCCCAGGACGCTGCCAATGAGGATCCACAGGGAGATGAGGACAGGGCGCGTCTGAATCACCTCCAGCAGGCTCTATACGGGAAGGCGACTTGTTAGTACTCGTCCCCTTTCTCCCAGCTGGCCTCCCCCCACATTACAGCAAAGCCTCGGGATGGGAGAATACAAAGAAAGAAACGAGGGGCGCCTGGGTGGCTTAGTCGGTTAAGCGTCCGACTTTCGCTTAGGTCGTGATCTCGCGGTTCGTGGGTTCGAGCCCCGCGTCGGGCTCTGTGCTGACTGCCAGCTCAGAGCCTGGAGCCTGTTTCAGAGTCTGTATCTCCCTCTCTCTCTGACCCTCCCCTGCTCACGCTGTCTCTCTCTCTCTCCTAGAAATAAATAAAAACATTAAAAAAAAAAAACAACAAAGAAAGAAACGGAGGCAGGAATAAAGGCAGTGGGGCCCCAGCATCCTGATTGTATCACTTCTGACTCCCTGCTGCCTAATGAGGACGCTCTGGGTTCTGAAAAAGCACCCCAACTCTGTAGTCCCCACCCCGGCTCTTCCCACAGGCTCCTCCCACTCTTCCCACCCTTCTCAAACTCAGGCGCCAGTCCCACCTCACTCCAACGAGAGGCTTCAGGCAGCTGCAGGACGCTGCCCTCCTTAGCTCCCAGCTCGAACGTGCTGACCACCGTCAGGGACTTGAATTTGGCCTGTGGAACAAGTGGATGGGAAGACGCTAGAGCGGGCCACCATCAATCAGGTGGGAGCCCAATGGCAAAGAGGAGGCGGGTAGGCACAATTTCCAGTGCCTTCCAGACCAGAAGAAAAGGTTGGAGACCAATGGAGAAAGAGAGGAAGGGTACTAGATGGGAAGCCTCCGGCCCTTCATATACGGTGTTTGCTCTACCCAACATTATCTAACTCCCCTTTCTTTGGCTAACCCTCAGCCCTCCTTTAGTTGATGTTTACATGTCATCCCCCAACAGAATTAGCGAAGTGTTTCCTCCTAAACTCATCACCCTGGCTTAGGTCTTACTATTCTATTTACTTCTCTGTCTTTCACCCCTGGACTGTATATAGGATCCTTGAGGTCAAGAGCTGTGTCCTACACATTTAGGTGTCTCTAGTGCCTAGAGCCTCGCCCAGTGCTACGTACATACTGGTTTCTCAATAAATCTCTATTGAAAAAAATAAGTAAATGAATGAAAAAGGCTACCAAAGAGAGCTAAAGAGACCATCAGACTTAGAGAAGGGTGATGTCTCAGACATAACTTTCCTATAAAATATGCCTTGTGCTCTTTAAGTAGATAGCCCTTAGTACTAAAGACTGTTATAATTAAGTGCCATTTCCATGTGCAGGAACTTACACTGACTCCCAACTGCCTGTCGTATTAAGTTCAATTTCATCTCCCTAGCTTTCGAGAACTTTCATAACCTAGATTGCTTTCAGCTATATGATCTTGTCTTCCATTACCCGCCAGGACATATCAGGCATGTAATGTCAACTGTTTATTCACTCATTTAACAGAACTGTATTACATCACTATAGTGAGTTAGGCGTGGTAGTAAATGTTGGGCATCGTCTGTCTCCCCCAGTGCCTGCCTGTAGTAGGCACATGGCAGATTATTAATTGGCTGGATGTAGGTATCCTGTAAATGTTGATTATCGATATAGCATGAAGGGATGACCCACAGAGGAGAATAACGAGCCTTCATGAGTCCATCTCATTATTCATTTATTCTTTACAATGTCACGAAGTAGGTATTACCTTCCCCATTTTAGAGATAAAGGAAAAGAATCTGAGAGAGGTTAAATAACTTGCTTAAGGGCCTGGAACTTGAACCTGAGTCAATTCCAAAGCCTATGCTGCAGCTCCAGGTGGTAGCGGGAGAGGAAAGGGGAAGGAAAGATTTACCCTCCGGAAAAATTCGTTGTGGACCAGCCTCAGCAGTTCAACAGAGACCTCCGTCCCCTTGGCCAGCCGCCCAAGATGGCACCTCACCACCTGACACCGAGTGTTGCTCCCGTTCTTCCAGAAGAGAAAGGCGGATCAGGACCTTGGGGTGGGAAACTCCCCCACTCCCCATGCCAGGCTCTACCCACCCCCTGTCCCAACGCCCCAAACCCTACCACTCCCCGCTGCGTTCCCATTCCGGACACCTCCTTCACCTCCTTGGGGCTCATACCAGTCTGTTTATGTGCTGAAAGTCCTCTGGGTGCACAGGGGACCCTGGCGGCTCAGTCAGGTTCTGTACCGTGCAGCTTGCCTACAGGGAGATGCGACTTGAGCGACCCCCTGGACGGTGAGAGGCCGGCCACTCCGGGCTGGGCAGGGGCATACGACCCATGCTCTGTGGTTCGCCCCTGGGCAATCCCTTTCTTTCTCCCCAGAGAAGCCACATGTGTGAAAGAAAGGTCTCCCAGAGGGAGGGGTGCCGACAGCAGTGACCTAGCACGTAAGGAGCGGGTAGGCTCACCAGGTCAAGGTGGCAGGGTTTTCCATACACCCTTAGCCTAGACTCACGTTGTTAGTGATGACTTGAGACAATGACAGGAAGTAATTGCCCCCATGGGCCACAGCTGGAAGGAGGGCTGAGATGATGAGGCCACTGACCACATAGCAGCCAAGGTTCTGAACCTAAGAGGGGGGGTTGGAAGGGGGAAGAGGAGGGAGACAGAAGACCTTCCTCATCTGTTCTTTACCCCAGATGCCCCTGGGGATCTAAGAGAGACTCTTCCCTCCTTTGCCCAGGACTCCTCCCCCTCCCCTTGCTCATGCCAAGGCTCCTCCAGCTTCTCACCCTGAGGGTGGTTTTGAATTCAGGACCCACTGGGAGGGTCCCGTATGGGTGAACCTCATAGCGGTGCAGGGTGGACTCACTGAGTGGACACCAAGTCAGGAAGTGCACGGCCACAGCCATGACACAGTCACAGGGCACGCAGTCAGTGCACAGACACGGGTTCGGGGAAGGCAGGGCCAGCACACGGGTAAAGAAACGGGGGACACAAAGAAGACAGAAGCAGGATGTGGCATAGACTTGGCACCAACTGTGCGGTTACAGCTCATCCCCTTCACCCCAGCCCCGATCCCCAGGCCCGCGGCCAAGCCCTATACCCAGAAAAGTAAGATGCTTCAAAGGTTCAACTTGAGTGGGATTCAGGGCAAAAGGACGGGGCAGCCCCACAAGGGTTTGCATTTGGGGAAAACACTGCAACCCATGGGAGGAACCGGAGGGAACACAGAGCACGGGTCCGGGGTCAGGACAGGGGTCCTAGAGGGGAGCCGAGCCGTACCTGGAGAACAGGACGTGGGGCTCATACTGAATGTAGGCTGAGGTCTGGGCTGTGTTATCCTGAAGCGTCCCATTTCTCTCCAGGCTATTGCTGCAGGGTTAGGGGGAGAGGCTCACAGCGCAGCCCACTCTCAGGCACCCCTCCCACCCCAACGAGAGTAGAGGAGTCACTGCTGTTTCCACCAACCCCCTTTCCCCACAAGAGAGACCTGGGAGGAAGTCCCCTTATTCTCACCTGGTGGCAATCAGCCTCACAAGGACCTGGTTCAGAAGGGAAGAGCAGCTAAACTCGAACTCCAGCAGAAAGGTCACCTGGAGGCGGCCGGAGTGGGGTATTGGCATTTCCCTCTCCAAGGGGCCAGCGCAGAAGAACACAGGCCCTGGGTGCCTCCCTCCCTAAACTCCCAGGCCCAGGAGATTCTGGCTGCCTGGTCTCTCAGAGCCCCCTTTCCCAGCCTGGGCCCCTACTCACCTTGGCTCCGGTCTGAAGGACCGGGTGGCCCACACTGCAGAGCCGGGCATGAGGGGAAGGGGCTGTGCATTCCACCTTGACTGGGCTGTCCCCCTGCGAGCAGATGGGTGGGGTGGGGGCTAGAGCTGACGCCTCAGGAGCTCTCCTGCCCATGGCCGCTCAACATTGACACCTCAACACTGACACCGAGCCCTTCCCTAGCGCCTTTCCCAGCCCAGCCCAGCACCCCAATCTTCCTCCTCCTTCCCTGACTCCTCCCGAACCTCCCCCCCCACCCCCCCACCCCCAGCTACCTGAGGTGTGAAACTGGCCAGGTGGAGGTTTCTAGAGAAGCTCAGACTGAGGCTAGTGTTGTAGGCATTTTCCTTCCTGTTCTCCAGAGTTGCCGATACCAGCACTTTCTGCCGGCCTCCCCGAACCACGAAAGGCTCCTTCCTAGGAGTGGTGGATAAGGGAGAGAGCCCAGGAGTTGAGAAGCTGCTAAAAGCATCACTTCTGCTTTTCTGGGCAAGAAACGACCCTCCAGCTCCCTTCAAGTTCCTTCTGGTCTGTCTCAGGTCACCCTGATTTGGCCAGTTCGTGTCCATCCCACCTGGAGCCTCTGATGTCCATATGAGCACGAAGCACCAGGTCTGTGACACATTCATTGTCAGGGCCACAGTCCTTAGAGAAGGGGACCTAGAGGGGAGAGAAGGGGCTGAGGCCCAAGAGGAAGGCAAGCAGAAAAGAATGGAATTAGGGGAAAAGTGAAAAGAGGGGAATGGGCGCCCAGGTCAGATTCTGCCAGGAGATTGGGTCTCTGCCCTCCGCGTCTCTCCAATTCACTGAGAAGGGCAGTGTTGGGACCCAGGGGTGGGACCGGGCTTGGCACCGCTGACCAGCTTTCGTATAGAGGTGGGCGAGCCCTCATCCAGCACAGGCCCTGGCTTCGTGGAGTTGTCCAACGTGAAGGTCACTGTCAAGGCCAGTGGCCGGAGGTAATCTGAGGTATCCTAAGGAAAACCAGAGGCGAGGATCATTGGGGAGCCAAGGTTAGGGGTGCAGCCCAGGCCCCTGTAAGAATGTTATTACAGTGATCAATTCTCCAACACTTTCTATGCCTTGGGTGCTGTCCTCAAGGTCTATCAATACTATTACGTTTATCATTTTTTAAATTTTTTTAATGTTTTTATTTATTTCTGAGAGAGAGAGACAGTGTGAGCAGGGGAGAGTCAGAGAAAGAGGGAGGTACAGAATCTGAAACAGGCTCCAGGCTCTGAGCTGGCTGTCAGCACAGAGCCCAATGCCGGGACGGAACCCACAAACCATGAGATCATGACCTGAGCTGAAGTCAGACGCCCGACTGACTGAGCCACCCAGGCGCCGGGCATTTAATTCTAACACAGCTCCCATGATGCAGTTAGGGTTAGTATCTCCTCCGTTGGGGGAAGCAAGGGGCCTGAGGTGTGCGGGTGATGTGATCTGCCAGACCTCGCAAGCGGTGACGGGCAGAACAGGGCCTCAGCCCCAGGTCAGCCTCTCTTCCCTGGCTTCTTTGGCTCTGGCTGCCAGGCCCTGCCCAGTAGAAACCCGCCCTCCAATCAGCCTCCTCCTCAGCCTCCTCCTCGCTGGGCCTTGACGCAGAGCACTTCCTGCCCCTGCTCACCAGCACGTGGAACCGCAACTGCTCGCATGTGACATTGCCGACGCCCAGCCCGAGCTTCCGAGGGGCCAGCCTCTGGCCCGAGCCGTCAAACGCAGCACGTGCCCCCGCGGTCCACTCGTCCAGCGATGCCGTGAACCGCACGTCTGGATGGGGGTAAGGAGCACAGGTGGAGAGGGGCCCAGAGAGCGAGGCGGATGGGGTTCAGGGCTACCCGGACCGCTCCCGCCACTCACAGAACCGGCGATCCCAGCGGCCAGGGGTGCGAGACGTCACTCGGAAGCAAAGGGCGGCAGACAGGCAAGCGGCCTCCTGGCCTCGCCGGCTGCAGTCCCTCTGAACCACGCTGATGGCCGGGGGGGTCACCTCCAGGGAAGGGGCCAGGTGGACGATGGGCCGGGAGCTGGGATCAAGAGATTCCAGCAGTCAGAGGAAAGCCATTTGAAAAAGGCGATCCCCAGTGCTCGCCTCCCAGAGGTCAAAGGAAAGAATGAGGGGCTGGGTGTGTGTGGGGTCAGGCCCCCTGGAACCTTCAGGCAGGAAGAGAAGAGCTAGCGCTGAATAAGCACTTGCCCTGTGCCAGGCGCTGTGCTAAGATCTTACCGTGATTGTTGCATTCACCCTCCCACGCACCTATGGGGTAGGTACTGTCATTATTCCCATTTTAGAAACTAGGAAATGGAGGAACAGGGCAAGTTGGTGAAGAAATCCAAATCTAAGTCTGTGCTTCCCAAGCCTTTGCTTTTATTTTATTTTTTTTTCCTAGAGAGAGAGAGACAGAAAGAAAGAGGAGAGTGGAGAGGGAGAGACAGAATCCCAAGCAGTCTCCGAGCCCACTGCAGGAGCCCAACTCAGGGCTTGATCTCACGACCCGGGGCTCGATCTCAGGACTGTGAGCTCACGACCTGAGCTGAAATCGAAAGTTAGGTGCTTAACCGACTGAGCCACCCAGGCGCGCCCCCACCCCCCCCCCAAGCCTTTGCTTTTATCAGTTAAGCGATGCTGCCTCCTGCCTCCTGGGCGGGGACCACTCACCTGAGCAAAACGGCTGCCCCCTGGGCGCCCACGGCCACATCGACCAGGTCATCTCCGTCCAGATCCAGCCGGCCATCCACACTCCGGCCAAAGTAGCTGAGGGCCTGTGGCATGGAGATGGCAGCAATCCTCTGAGGGGGAGAGAGGGGAGATGAGCAGGAACTCTCATGCCTGGTGACTCGGGCTCCTCCCCCGCCCCCTGGCACACAATAAGGAATAAGGATAAGGAGGAATAAGAGAGACAGGCCTGTACTTAGGAGTCCCTAGGGCAGCACCCTGTCCCCTGCCCTACACCTCACCTTTAGGAACCCTGATAAAAAGGCACTTGTCCACTGTGGATCTCAGGCCAGGGAAACATCGACGACCAAGGAGCACACCCCCCTTCTCCTTCCTCCCATCCGCACCCCTGCTTTATCTGGAGGCTCCTGACCTGAGCGGGGCGGGGCCTGATTCCACTCCGGGTGCCATGATATAGGTACAGCGCCCCGTGGTGCCCATCCTCCAGGGGTGCCCCCACGGCCACGTCAGCAAAACCATCTTGGTTCAGATCGGGAAGGGCGCCCATGGCAAAGCCCAGCCGAGCGTCCTGGGGGGGTTCCGGCTGCAGCGTTCCCTGGAGAGTGAGCAAGGACTGCTGGTGGAGGGGAGGAGAGAGCAGATGCTGATCTGGCAGTGAACGGATGCGCCCTCCCTCCCTCTTCCCTCCACCCCATTCCCCGCCCTACCCAGACCCCAGCAAGTCTCACCTGGCTCACCACATACACGTAAACACGGCCCGTCTCCTTGTTCTGGGGGCCCAGGAACATGGGGGCGGCCACGAGCAAGACATCGGTGGTCCCATCCCCATCCGTATCCAGCGGACAGAGCTCACCGCCGAAGTAGGAGCCGATCTGGGGAGCGGTGGGGGGTGGGGACCCCAGCGAAAGCGGAAGGTGACTGCGGGCAAGGGAGAAGGAGCCACCAGCCTGGCCTGCCACTGTGGTCCCCATACCCCTGACAGAGCCCACCAAGCGGAATTCCTTCTGCAAAGACTTTTCAGGCTCCTCTCATGATCCCTCCCTTTCCTCCCCCACAGCCTGAAGGCCCCTCCGGACCCCAAGGGGTCCCACCCTCTCTTGGACACCTTACCTGCTCCCCATGGAGGCTCTGGGCAACCCTCACAGCCCCGTCTCTCTTAAGCTGGAAGGCAATGACTTTTCCTCTATGTCTAAACCGAGGAGCCCCCGAGAGAAAGAGGCGGCGTCCACCCCGCAAAAGCATGGAGGAAACGGAGTAACCTAGAAGTGGGCAGGGAATCGGATGAAAGGGAAAAAAGATGGGGTCAGAGTCGGAAGGTTCCCTAAAGGCACAGGAGGGGGTCCCAAGCAAGGTAGCAGATGGGTGAGAAACTGCTCTCATCCCTGCCACTGGGGACACAGTCCCTCCTCACCCTCTCCTTCCCTGTAGCCCTCTGCTACTTACCTAGGTAGGCTGCATGGTTCTGCAGGGCAGGGGGGAACTCATCCTCCAGGGCTGTCCGCGGGGGGAAGAGGCGGTGACCTCCTTCAAGCCACAGCACAGAGCCCCCCCAGTCATAGGCCCCCACCATTCCAAAGAGAATCCCATCCTGTGTGGCAGAAACAGACAGGGTCACTTGAAAAGACAACAGGAAGTAAAGAGTTAAAAGCTCCAGGAGCGAAAGGGTCACTAAGACTATGCTGGGGTCAGCTGGAAAGGCATGGGGGGGTCAGTATGGACACTGGACATCAGTTAAAGGGAGAATCTAGAAGAGCTCTGGGTTGAAGTTGCCTGGGTCTGAGGCTGGGAGGAGTCAGATGTTGAGAGGGGTCACACTCTGTCCAACCTTCAGCCGATGGGTAGAGAAACCAATCTGAGACATTTCCAGCCCAAAAGAGCTTTCATTTTCTCCATGGGACCCTGGAGCATGAGAAAATATCAAGGTGATATCAGGAAAGACATTTCTCTGATGTACTGGACGTACTCCAGAGCCCCACCTACACCCAGAACTCCCCCTACCCTGTCCCCTGCGCCTTCAGGGCAGTCATTACCCTCAAGGCCAAAAATCCGGTCTCCGAGTGCGTCCACGATGTCTGTCAGCGCAGCTTCGTCTGTGACGTTGAAGAAGAATCTCTCGTCCGGATCACTGGCGATAGTTCTGATTTCCCGCAGGAACGAGCTGGGGTCTCGCTGTCTCCGGAGGTAGTGGCCAAGGACCTGGGGTCAGGAGATCAAGGTGGGGTCGGTTAGCCGCGTGGAGGGAGGCATCAAAGCTGGTACAGAACACAGTGAAAGAAGGGAAATACGGCTGACCTTTGGGAAGCAGTTAGTGCCTATTTTCTTCAAGTTCCCCGACCTCGGTGTCACCACCCCCCCTCCATCCTTCCAGATGCAGAGATTCTCACCGCAATCCCATAGCGGGTCACTCTGCCAGCCTCACAGGCCTTCAGTGCGGCAGGAAGTTCCTCCCCGTCATGGGACTCTCCATCGGTGACAACCACCAGCAGCCTGGCAGCCTCGGGCCGGCCCCCACGGGACGGGCTGAATCCTTCTGTGCTGAGAGAGAAGAGAGTGAGGCGTGATCACGTGTATGCAGATACAGATACACACACGCGCGCGCCACTGTCAGCGGGTCACTGAGGCCAGGCACCTTGCTTTTTAGCCCATCTCCCTGATAGTGGAGACTGGAAACAGGAAGGGCTGAAATGTTTGAAATGTCACAGAGCATATCCTCAATGCAAGTAAGTGTACAATCCATTCGTTCATAGATTCGCTCGGCAAATGCTGCACCTGGGAGAGGACACGTATTCAGAGCGTGTAGAATAAAGGAGAGCGGTCAGAGCAAGGAAGTCTTCCCAGAGATGCGTTCTGAATCATGTTTGGCAAGTGGGCTAGGACATAAGTGGCAGAGGACCTGAGGACCACGATCAAAGCGGGAGGGCAGGGATAGAGAGAGTCCTGTCTACAGAGATAAACAAAATAAATCAGACACAGGGAAAGACGCAGACATCTGCCTGGAAGAGGGTGATGAGAAGGGTATGCAATGACAGCCAGCTGGGCCTTCCCCACCAGTGTGCACACAAAGAAAATCATGCCAGACATCTCGGGAGGGAGAGAGCGCACTCCAGACCCTCCCCTAACCTTTCTAGGCCCTCCCAGGCTCCCCTCCCCAGTGCCTCACCAGGCCACCAGGATGGCTTGGGCGGTCTTCGTTTCTCGTCCCTCTCGCCGACTCAGGTTCCTGGCCGCCCTCACCACTTCTTCCTTGGTTCGGAAGTCTCCCAGGGACCACTCGTGCACAGGGCTCTCCCCATACTGCACGAGCCCCACCTGAGAATAAAGCGTGCGCTCACATGGAGTGTGCGTGCTGGGGGAGAAGACGGCACGCGGGGGCAGGGAGACGGGTGTCTGGGTGCTAGGGAACAACTGCCTCCATTCACCTCCTCCCCCCGCCTCTCCCCCTCGGAGCCCATCCACACCGCCCTCTCTTACCTGGATCTGCTCTGGGTCAATAAACAGTCTCCCTACCAGTCTTCGGAGGAAAGTCTGAACTTCCGACCAGGGGTAGATACTGTTAGAGCCATCCAAGACGATGACCACATCCATGTACGTGGGGCAGCCTAGGAGGAAGGGTGTGCTGATGGGGAACAGAAGGGTAGGAGGAAACTGGGCATGCGGGCAACAAGAGGAGAGGTCACAGGAGGGCACATTCTATTCAAACACTTATTTGGCAGCTGGGAAGGTACAAGGAAGGTAGCACTGCGGCCCCGGGCAAATGTAGAAACGAATAAAAAAGGAGACAGGCATACATACAACTTACTAAAAGAAGAAGAAGATGTAGAAAAAAGGGGGAGGGGGAGGAGGAGAGGAAAGAGGGGGAGGGAGAGAAGAAGGGGGATTAGGTGCCAGGTAGAAGCAGAGCGCCCCACTATGCTGTAGGAGAACGAGAGGTCGGTTCTGATTGTGGGGAATCAAAGACATAAGCAGTAGAAAGATGTCTGAAAAGAGCATAAGGCATTTGCCTGGAGAACACCTTAAATAAAAGGACACGGAGGTACAAAAATAGATGACAAGCAGGGGCACGAGGGGGGAAATGCTCTGGGGCACGGGGCGTGGAGGGATACAGTGAGAGCTGAGGTTTCGAAGCCGGTTCGGGGGTCTAAGTCGGTTCACGGGTCTAAGAGTCCGACTTCTCTGCTGGGAAACGTGGCGTCTCGGCAGGCACGTTGCGTAACCACGAGGGAAGCCCTGCGGGGCCCCCTGTGCAGCCCCGTCCTTTCCCCTCCCGGCACCCTTTCCCCTCCCGGCGCTGGGCGTCCTCAGGCCCTTCTTCCGGCTCACGTTGTGCGGTGGGTGCCAGGCTTCCCTGCGGCCGGAATGAAGCATCTACGCGGGCACATATCCCCGAACTGAAGACAGAGGAGCCACAGGCACGAGACCAGAGCGGGGCGCAAGCCTGCGGGGAGTTGGGAGAACGGCACCCCCAGGCCTCTCAGCGCATGCCCCTACTTGAAGGATGCACCGGAATCGCGCCCTGGGACCCTCCTCCTTGCTTTCTAGGGTTCTAAACTTCTGGAGCCCTCCACACAGGCCAGGTCCCCGTACCATACTGCTCTCGTCTCTGCCCGATTCCTTCAGAGACACCTTCCCACCACCACCCTTTCCTCAGCTCACCATGAATCCCCCATCACTGTCTGTCTCCAGCAGAGTCATTCCCAGGTGCATGTTCATGGCAGGGCGAGAGGAATTTCCCAGTGGGTAGTCGCCTGGTTGGAAGGGGGTGGAAGAGAATGAGATCATGGGGTCCCACACGGGGTGCCGGAGCTCAGGGTGATTGGGAAAGAGGATGAAATCAGGTTCAAGTCAAAGGCAGGGGGTACGTGGGATGTGGGGATTAGGGTGAGGTGTAAGGGGCCAAGGCTACTAGTGTAACAGGCTAGAGGTTAGGAGTAGAGAGCAAGGCACCTTCTTACCCAAGTGGCCCTTGGCACACGGGGCACTGTGGGAGCCCCCTACAGGGCAGCGATAAACGTCCCCCCTTCTGTCACCTGAAGGCCCATCCCAGGGGGCACCCACCAGCATCCTGGGAGGAGGACACGAGTATAAGTATCGTATGAACATGGCCTTTGCGACGGGCCAGCGGGAGAATGCGTGGGGGTAGCAAGTCTTGAGCCCCAGCCACTTCTACCAGTGACCTTGCCATCTGCCTCCCCCCCCCCCCCCATAAGACTAGCACACTCCCAGTCCTGCAGCCCTCTGGCTTCTTCCTCACCAGCGACGTCCACTCCCGACGTGTTGCAAGACACTGTATCCGAATTCAGCCTCGGGTGGCCCTGGGAACAGGCGTGGGTGGTGCGCATCCAGGTTAAAGGGGGAGCTCAGACCTGGGGAGGGGGCAGGAAGCAGTCAGAGAGGTTAATGAATGCCCAGAGAGGCATACCAGAAAGAAGCGCAAAGGGAGTATTTTTATCTCAGCCCATCTCCCTGTTTCTTACTCAGAAGTTGTGCGGGCCTCTGTCAACATCATGTACTCAGAACTCCAAGCAAGGGCGCCTGGGGAGCTCCATCAGTTAAGCGTCTGACTTTGGCTCAGGTCATGATCTCATGGCTTGTGAGTTCGAGCCCCTGCATCAGGCTCTGTGCTGATGGCTCAGAGCCTGGAGCCTGCTTCAGATTCTGTGTCTCCCTCTGTCTCTGCCCTTACCCCGCTCACACTCTGACTCTCTCTCCCTCTCTCTCTCTCTCTCTCTCAAAAATAAACATTAAAAAAAAAAAAAAAAGAACTCCAAGCAAGGATGGTCTCCTTCCGGTATTTAGGTCCCCAGATGTCTGACCTGTGGCCCTCTGCCATGCTGGTGCACAGCTGTATTTCCATTCCCACCTCTGAAATCTCATTCACAGACATGTCTGGAAGGGTCAAGTTCCTCTTTTCCACATCATTCCTCCTACACATCCTCCCCGACAAGCTGTAAGCGTCAAAGACGGAGAGGGCCTTCCCAAAGCCCAGAACAACTGTTCCTTCCCGACTCTCCCCCGACCCGGGACCTCAGGGAGCACAAGGGGAGGCTAGGGAGTACTGCGTGGCAAGCTCACTCCTCTTTCTGTCTCTTTAGGACGCCCATGTCGTTGCCCCACTCTCTCTCTCTCTCCAGTGCCTGGTCCCTGCTTCATTCCAGCTCTGAAAACCTCAGTGGTAATTAACTGGGTGGGGCTACTCGACTGCCCACACATATGGTTTGCCTTCCGTCCTTACCAAGAGTCCCGTCACCCCGAAGTTTCCCACACCCCGCTTTTCTCACTCACCCACCCTCCCAACTGCCCCTGCCTGTCTTTCTTTCATTCCAGCCCACTCTAAGGACCCTCCCCTCACTCATACCCTGGCTGATCCTTCCCCGCCATCCCCCTCCCTATAAAATCAGAGCATTCTAGAATGGGGTGTCTGACTGGCTCAGTCGGTAGAGCATGCTACTCTTGATCTCAGGGTCATGAGTTCAAGCCTCATGCTGGGCTTAGAGTTTACTTAGAAATAAGATAAAATGAATTTAAAGAAATCGGAGGTGGTATTTTAGGAAACAAAGATTACAGGGCACTGGTGAGGGAAAATTCCAGGCCTAAGGTCCCTCCCACGGTTCTTCCTCATGTCTTGCTCTCTCCTTTCAAGCAGCCCCCTCAGGATACCCCCACCACCAATGGCCATGAACCGTTGCTCAAAACATGCTTCTTTTCAGAAAGGTGTTTTCTATGTGAGCTTTCTCCTGCATCCAGGAAACTGGCAGAGCTCTATGGCCAGCAACCGTAGCTCATTGGTTAGATAAACCAAGAGCTCTGACCACACAGCTACGCCTCAGGCTGCAGAGACCACCAACGGTAGAGGGAAGTTGGGGGGGAAGAGAAAAGGAATCGGACCAGCCACGTGGAAGGTCACATCACGCTTCTTTTTGATCCACGTACTCCCGCAGGGCTCAGGATGAAGATCTTAGGTAACTGGACACAAATCTGATGCAAGGCCCTTCCAGTCTCAATACCGAAGCCCCCCCCCCCCCGCCCACATACACATACACACACAAGATGCAGAATCAGTGTTAACCTCTCCCGCTTGACCCCGAAGAGATCAACCCTAAACGTCCCGATGCCAAACAGCCCATGCACCTTCCATTCGCCCCAGAAACCGAGAAGGTGACCTCCCTCACCTGTCAGGGTCATCACGGGCAAGAGCAGGTGAAGGATGGCCGGGAGTCCCATGCCTGGCTGTTCTCCGTGTGAGAAGTCCTCTGTGCCTCCGTCCCCCTCCGTTTCTGTTTTCTTTCCTTTCCCTCCCATCCTGCCCCCTCCCACTGGCAGCTAAAAATAAAATTGGAAGGGATGGGAGGAGTGCCGGTGGGGAACTCCGGGGAGCCCCAGACCACGGAAAGGACGGAGCAAACCTCAGCCCATTTCTCTGCCCTGGTGCTGCCCCCTGGAGGCGTCATGTCAATATGCAAAGAACACGGTTCTTGACTTTCCTACCCTTTCTCTTCCTTTCTTCCCGCATCCTTGTTGCCAGGAAGTAACACTTTCCTTGGGTTTGGAATAGACACTAGGCATGGGAGACAGAGCCTCGGTACTTCTTACCCTTATTTCTCTTACCCTGGGATACAGAAAACGAACGAACCGGTGATGGTGATATCGTTTCCCCTCGCCCCCCAGGGGAGCCCCACCGTGTGAACACAGCCAGCCCCCAAACCAAACCTTGCCAGCCTCACTGCACTTCGTCCTGTTCATGGCTCAGCCCACGTTGCCCTCAGGGCATTACAGCTCTTGGAGGGACCAGGAACCAGGAACTGGTAGGCAGTGTGCTTTGTGGGACCCACACAAGCACTTGCACATCAGACCCTGGTACTATGCCCTGCGCTGGGGCAGGTGTTCAGTGAAAGTCTGGGCGAGGATGCCAGCGGCCAAGCCCACGGAAAACCCAAACCACGGCAACAGGAGTTCGAGGCCTTGGGTGCCCAGAACACACAGGACCAGACCGCACGCCGAGGAGCAAACCGATCTTTAATGTACTGACCCGGGAGGCTCGCTCCCCATCGTGGGCACAGGCCACAGCTATTTACACGGAGTCTCTGTACAGTATTTACAGCAAGATGCCGCACACAGCATCATTCCGCACAGGCAAAGAAGGGGCCGGGGCAGGCTGGGGAGCAAGGCCCTGAAATGAAAGGGTGCGCAGAAATCTGTGGGCGTGAGCAGAGGGCAGGGCCGAGGCCCGAGGGAGGCTGGTGAGGTAGACGTCAAGGAGGAACCGCTGAACCACCACGGTGGCTGAGGGGGAGAGTCCACTGGGACAGAAGTCTTTAAAATTATGCTCTGGTGGCATGTGAAAGGGATAAAATCTGCCACCAGTCACCTTTGTGAGGGAAAAGATGAAGGCAGTGAGAACCTTACAGGCCACCCCTTCTACCTCCCCTTACCAAAAAAGTGTAATTCTGCTGCTGCTGAAAATTCCTAGGACAGCCAACGGGAGACGGTAAAAAAGAAAAAAAAAAAAAAAAAAAAAAGGATGTAGAGACAGAATCCCAAATAGACTTAGAAGAGACAGAGTAAAAGGGGTCAAGAAAGACACAGACATTGCAACGGAGGAGGAAGAAACAAAAGCTCCGAAGATCTGAGCATCAGAATCACCCCGTTGACGTCACAAGTCCCCTCACCTCGCCTTCCCCGAAGCTCCTCTCTCTACCCCTAGATCCTGGGATTTTCACTTTCCCCAAGGAGTAGGATTAGCAGGAGACAGGAATATTGGGCATGACCTAAGATCCATCTCACCCACTGAGATCCTCTCCTAATCCTGTACCTTATCCTCATCAAGGCTTGAGTCTTAGCCAAGGGCAGATGAGGGTAAGAAGAGACAAGATGGAGGACACAAGGCCACAGAGCCCCACAACCCCAGGGCCGCAGCGCCAGAGGCCTAGTTTGTCCAGTGGAATGAAGAGATCACAGGCATTTCTGACCACATCCAGCAGAAGAGGGGGATGGCCTCGAAGGACCCGGGCCAAGAGTAGGACCCGGAGCTGAAGCTTGAGAGCCAGATGAGGCAAGCCTCTTCCTGGAGATGCTGGACCACCAGGGCCTGCATTTCCAATTCCTCCTGGGGCTCCTCCTCCAGGAGCCTTCAGTCGCCGGCTACAAGCTGAAGACTCTTGTTCCATCAGTAGGCGAATCTCATAGGCATCCCGGCTCAAGTTCATGATGAGGGAAAACAGATAGTACCTGGGAGACACAGGCCAGAAGAGTCAGGAAGGGCAAACAATGGCCACTAAGCCCATCAAACAGAACGCGTAAACATTCTTCCCCCATAATGCAAAGGGATTATACATTCGGACACCGTGAGTGAGTGCTGCCAGCCACTATTAAGAATGTCTTCCCAACTTTCTATAACTAATCAGTGTTTATGTGTGCCTTAAGATCCTGGCTTAAAATCATGAGCATCACCAAACTGTCCAAGATCAACCTCAAATTTTACCTGCCCAATCCATCAGCACACCCACGTTCAACATGAACTATAAAAATGCAAATGTTTTGCGAGACCAAGCTTCAGTTGTTTCAGAAACTCAGACACATTATAGATCTTTTAGATCCCATCCTTTTGTTAAACAACAACAAAAAACAAAAATGGAGACCCAGAGGTGTTCAGCCACTTGCTAAATGTGTTAGATTATCAATTCCTTAAGAGCCATCTATGTGTGGCACGCGAGGCTGGCTCAGGTCAGTAAGGGCATACAACTCTTGACCTTGGGGTTGTGAGTTTCAGCCCTATGTTGGGCATAGAGATTACTTAAAAAACAAACAAACACCCAACAGTCTATGGTTTTGAATTTTAACCCACTATGACAACAGTGGTATATGCTCAATATAACGGCCCTACCTTAAAACACGTCCCGAATCCAGTCCCACCTCTTTCCCTTACCCTCCACGAGCACCATCTCAACCATCAGCACCTCTTCCTTGAACTACTACTTGACGCATTTAACTGGTCTTTTCCTGCCCCCAGTAATGTAAGTCACACAGTAAGTCACATCATCACTCCCCATCTTCAAATTCTCCACCGTTTCCTTCCCATCCCATTTAAGACAAACTCTAGACATTAGACAAGCATTCGGAACTCAACGTCCGACCCTGCCTTTCTTGACTCCATCTCGTACCTTTCTGTGCTCCACCTATATTAGTGTCTTTCTGTATTTTGATCTCATCAAGCTTGTTCCTGCTTTAGGACCCTTATTCTGCCTCATCCATCCACCCAGAATATTCTCCCTTCCAAAATCTTCACGTGGCTCATGCTTCCTTGCTCTTCGGGGCTGAGCTTAAACGGTACCTTTCAGAGAGGCCTTCTCTGACTCCCTCATGCCAAGGGAGCGGAGCCTTTTACTCTCTACCACGCAGCCGTAATTTAATTTCCTGCACGGCACTTCATTACTCACTGATATGTTTATTTATTATCTCTTTATGTTTGTCTCCTCCCATTACAATGAGAGCTCCATTGGAGCAGGGATCTTTTTTTTATCTTTACCCTTGCTTTTCCAGAACAGTCCAGCCAGGCCTTCACCCCCACCCTTCACACACTATGAGCCACGTGATAGCTATAAGTCACTGATTAACGTGAAGAGAAAAGCAAGACATAAATGGAGACAGAAAGATGCTAATATTACACAACAAACAGAATCATAGGGAAACAAAATAAAAACAAACACAAATGATATGTAGACAGATCATTTTAATCCCAAATCGTGTTTCTCTCCACCTTCATTACCAGCCGGCGCCTTAGTCCGAGCCCGCATCATCTCTGGGCCATATTAGGGCATCTCCTCCTGTTTTGTGCCGCCGCAATCCGTTTTCCACATTGCAGCAAGAGACCTTCTTTAAACACAGTTTGAATCATGTCACATCCCTGTTCAGAACCTATTGTACTTAGGATAGAATTTACACAAAACCAAACCAGAAAAATCCGACCACTGCCCAAGAGGCCTTGCACGAATGATCTGGCCCCTGTATACATTTCCAGCTCAAACTTAGGCCCCTTCCCCTCTATGCTGTCCATTGTGCTGTCCACAAAATCTGTCCTGGTTTAATGCCTTAGACTGGGCTATTTTCTGTTGGAAGGTCTTCCCTGCTACTGTTGGCTTTGCCTAACACCTGCTCCGACTTCAGGTCTAAACTAAACCATTCCTTTCTCAAAGAGTGCTTCCCTAGCCTCTCAGGTGAAATCAGCTCCCCTTGTTATATAGATCTCATAACACTCTGTACGTTTCCACAAATACTGGGTTTGGTGTTTGTTTTAATATGACTCTCCCCACTAGACTAGAAGCATGATAAGAGTAGAAACCACATCTGTTCGACTCTTTGCTTTATTCCTTAGCCCATAGTAAGCACCTCCTGAATATTTTTAGAATGAATGAATGAGCAGGCAGTGAAAGGCATAGTCTGTGGTATAGACAGAAGCACAATTATATCAATATAATATCTTAGTCATTCATCATGGGAGAGCATCTGCCTTCCATCTGCCTCCATTCACTATTCTCTGATCGTTTAAAATCGGAATGAATGGGGGCGCCCGGGTGGCTCAGTCGGGTAAGCGTCTGACTTTGGCTCAGTGGGTTTGAGCCCTGCATCGGGCTCTGTGCTGACAGCTCAAAGCCTGGAGCCTGCTTCCTATTCTGTGTTTCCCTCTCTGCCCTTCCCCTCCTCGTACTCTGTCTCTGTCTCTCGACAATAAATACACGTTTAAAAAAAATTTTTTTTTAAATCTCAATGAAGATTGGAAGTCAAGTGATTAAGATGTGTACACTCTGGGAAGGCCCTGACATAGCTTTCTCTCACAAAAGGCAAGCCACGCGGTACGGGGAATACAAAAGGTCTTGCAGGATAAAAGGATATCAAACCTGAATGAACGCTGGGCCCACTTCTCCTGATCCACACGGGGAGCTAGTCCAGATTTTCCAGCCCACAGCACGTTGTCACAGGCGAAGTACAAAGCTCGATTGAGGTGACTAACCGTGATGCAGAATCTCAGGACAACATCTGACAGGTGTACAGCTCGTTTGGCCGACTCAAGGGCATCGGCCGAGTTACCCAGGCGTAGAACTTGCGGGCATTAGCAAGGAGAAGCAAGGATGTGGAAGCAGAGGCAAACAGAGAGTGAGACACAGAGAAAGAGAAAAGAAGAAGGTGAAAATCGAGCAAGTGACAGAAACAACACTTTTTAAAAAAAAAAAGAGTAAAATCAGGGGTGCCTGGGTGGCTTAGTCGGTTAAGCGTCCGACTTTTGCTTAGGTCATGATCTCATGGTTCATGGGTTCGAGCCCCGCGTCGGGCTCTGTGCTGACTGCCAGCTCAGAGCCTGGAGCCTGTTTCAGTCTGTGTCTCCCTCTCTCTCTGACCCTCCCCTGCTCACGCTGTCTCTCTCTCTCTCCTAGAAATAAATAAAACATTAAAAAATTAAAAAAAAAAAAAGAGTAAAATCAGTTCAAAAAATGTTTTCCTTCAAATTTTAATCAACTTGTGTCCCAGTCTGGTTTTCTCAAACCTGCCCCATTCTCTCCAGTCCTTCATTGGTATCCTACCCCTGTTTCCTTCTCTCAATCAGGAAGCCTGCAGAGGGCTAAGTGCAGAGCCAAAGGAGGGGCCAGAAGGGGCAGAGAAGGTCAAGAATGGGAAAGAGGGACCCAGGGAGAACAGCTGGGGATGGCCAGAGTGTCGGAGTAATAAAAGCAAAAGCACAAGTTACTTACGCTTTCTTCCCAGGCTCAGATGACTCTCCAGCTGCCGAATCTGTTTCTGTAGCTCGGGGCTGGCCCCGTGTTTTTGTAGCGCGTGGCCAAGAAGGGAACAGGCATACTGGGCCGCCCTGGAGGAGAGGCCAGGCAAGGTCAGGTCACTTCCCTAGGCGACCCCTCAAAAAAAGTCTCCCCAGAGGCAAGGAACGACTTCCCCTTTCCCATCTGGAGGCCATTCCCTTTCCTCCTCTTTCTGCCCACATTCTACCGTTTCTCCTCCAGGGCAGGGGAAGGGAAAGGCGTAGGGATAAAAAGGAGACTGGAAGGGGTTGAGGGGCACCACTTGGGGCTGAGAAAATAAGAGATCGGGCCAGGCTGAAGTCTGAAAGGGCCTCTGAAGGCAGCGCGGGGTCCGTCACGAGCACAGCAGTGTCGGAATGTATGTGATAACGGATGGGAGTGGGGGGCAGATGGAGGGCAGCGTATTCTTCAGAACAGGTGAACTGGGACCTTTCAAGGCCCTCTAGCTGGATCGAGACCGGAAGGCAGGGCGGAGGCGGAGGAGTTCCGGATCACAGCGGGGGTGAGGGGACAAGGGAACTGGAGCCACTCGGCTCTGGGGGCAGAGTCACGCTCTCCACGGCGGGGCGAACGCGCCTCACGCCACCGCCGCCCCGTGAGTAACGTGTGGCTCTTATGTGGACACGGCAACCCTTAGCGGCCTCCCCGCTGGCCCGCTCGTGCCTCAGTTTCCCCATCTTTCCGGTGAGCAGAAACGAATCATCTCCCGGGCCCGCTCCAATCGGCTCCTGGCTGTCCGCGCGGGCCCCCGTAGCCCGAGATGACCCCTTTTGACCCCCGTAGTGTGAACGGACCTCGCCTCACGAGGCGCCGCTTCTGCCCCCACCCCGTTCCTATGCGGGCCGCACCTACACAGCCGTTCCCGGGCCTGGCTCTGGGCACTGAAGCGAACCCAGGCGTCCATGACAGCGGCCGTCCCGGCTCCGCAGCCGCGCTCCCGCCCCGCTTCCCGCCCCCAGGCACGCCTCCTGGAAGAGCCGACGGCGTCTCGCGAGGGACAAGCGTCGTCAGAAAAGACGAGGAGGGGGGCCGGCCTCGGAAGCGGAATTTCAGAACGAAAAGCTTCGTCCTGGGCCAGCAGCTGCCGTGTTTCTGTGCGTGTCTCCGTCGGGGCGTGCTCCTACCGGGGGGCCTCTCCTTCCGGAGCTCGGCTCAGTCGGCACCTGCTGCTTTAAATATTCTGGGCCGAGGGCGGGGCTTGCAGGAGTCGGGGCGGGGCGAGAAGGCTCAGCCTCCTGGTTGCCTCTGCGGCTGGGACAGGGTCTCCTCTCCCCGGGGGTGCTTCCAAAACACCCCCAACACGCGCGCGCGCGCACACACACACACACGCACACACGCTGCGGCCGAATCCTGGGCTCTAGAAGCTGAAGTCTATGGGAGTAGAAGCTAGCACCAGATCCCTGTTCCCAGCAGGGCACTGAAGGTTGGGCCGTTGACCTCCAGAATACGGATGGAGAGTCTCCAGAGACAGAGGCTTTGATGGACGAAATTCGCAATAACCAGTTTCAGATCCTAATAAGAAGGGCGAAGGATCAGCGGACGAAGCTAACCTCTTCATACTCAGCCTCCATCCCCTCACCCCTTCCCCCTCTAAGTCACCATGTCTCTGGGCAACGGCACCCCTCGGGGCTTAGCAGCGGGGGAGGAGATCTGGGCGGGATCAGGAGTAGAAGTGGAGGGCTCAGAGCTGCCCACCTTCTCGGCTGCGGCCAAGGTCCGAGTGGGAGTGACCATTGTACTGTTTGTTTCTTCGGCTGGAGGGAACCTGGCCATGCTGTGGTCGGTGACTCGGCCACGACCCAGCCAACTCCGCCCTTCCCCTGTGCCGCGACTCTTTGCCCACTTAGCAGCTGCTGACTTACTAGTCACCTTTGTGGTTATGCCCTTAGATGCCACCTGGAATATCACTGTTCAATGGCTGGCCGGGGACATCGCGTGTCGGACACTCATGTTCCTGAAACTAATGGCCATGTATGCTGCAGCTTTCCTGCCTGTGGTCATTGGGCTCGACCGCCAGGAAGCAGTACTCCGCCCGCTTGCACCCCGCTCAGCCGGAAGGAAACTTCTAGGGGCAGCCTGGGGACTTAGTTTCCTGCTTGCCTTGCCCCAGGTGAGTGACTTGTTGGGACTCAAGACTATACCGGACAGGAATTTGGGCACACAACACAAACCTTGGAGTCAAGAGGTGTGCTTGGCCAGTGGTCACCCAATAATCCTTAGAGTGACCACTGCTGTTTTGCAAATTAAGATCATTTGCATGTTGGGGCGCCTGGGTGGCTCAATTGGTTTAAGTTTCTGACTTCAGCTCAGGTCATGATCTCACGGTTGTGGGTTTGAGCCCCACGACGGGCTCTGTGCTGAGAGCCTGGAGCCTGCTCCGGGTTCTGTGTCTCCGTCTCTCTGCTGTGCCCCCCCCCCCCCACCCAACTCTGTTTTTCTCTCTCTCAAAACTAAATGATCATTAAAAAAAAATTTTTTTTAAACAGATCATTGCATGCTGATCTGTATATCTGTTAAGAGGCTGCTTCTTAAAAGCAGTACCCTGTATCTAGGACCCCTCCTTCAGCTGTTTCGATATGCTTGGCTTGCACCTTTTTGCATCTCCCCAGCTTCACCTTCATCAGGAAATTGTTGCAGAAAACTCCAGGGATGAAACACATATGGCGGGGGGGGTGTCTATAAAGACCAGGAAATCGGGGGCTTTGGGTGAAACTCTAGTACATTCACTCATCCATTCAAAATATAATTTGCATCACCCGTAGGTACACTCAAAGGCTCTGTCAAGGACTGAGCATCAAAGTCCTGCCTTCAAGAAACTTAGACTGGTGCAGAAGGCAAATGAGTGTGCAATCATAGTACAGTGTGCAGTCAGGCATTATGCTAAAGGTACGCACACGGAGCTAAGGAACAATGAGGGTGTCTGAACCACTTTTGGACAGTCAGGGAAAGCTTCTCAAAGACATTAAAAATTGATTGTTTTTGACTTGCTAAAATAAGAGAGGTGTTAGACAATAAAGCAGGAGGAATGGTGGGGGTTGGCGGCAAGCAGAGGAATTCAAAGTGGCTGCAGCCAAAGTTGGGGGCTAGAAGATGGGTGAGTGGTGAGCCTGGATGGGAAGGAAAGCCTGATTACAAATATTAAGCTTGTGCTTTATCCCGAGGGCAGTGGAGAGGCACCAGCTAAAAGGTGGAGACAGAAATAATCAGATTTGTGTTTTTTGCTTTATTGTGAAAACTGGAAAGAATGCTAGAAAGAAAACAGAGCATCTGAACTTGACTACCAGTTATCAAATCTCAAGTATTGACAATGAACTAGAAATCTGGGGCAGGGGATGATATATGAAGCAATTCCTTTAAGACCAAAACCTTTCAGACCCCCTCTGAGGGGAAGGGGTAGAACAGCATTGTGGAGACCAGGATTAGGATTAGATGGGGACGGGCTGTGCAATGACAATGTGTCATAGAATCAGATTTAAAATCTGATCCCTCAATCCTCAAATATTAGAAATGTAACTGCCAAAGTTAGTCTGACTATAGTTCTAGGACAAAGAATACTGCTTCCAACAATGTTCAGCAGGACCTCTGCTACCCAAAGCTTTAAAAAGCAGCTTTGTTGCCTCAGTGTAAAAGGTACTGTTTGTTTATATGAAACAAATTTTAGATGTGGACTGGGAGTTAGAACCCTGTTTTTTTTTTTTTCTTTTTCTTTTTAAATGTTTGCATCTTTATTTTGAGAGAGATAGAGACAGCACAAGCAGGGTAGGGGCAGAGAGACTGACACAGGGCTCGATCCCAGGAACTGTGAAATCATGACCTGAGCTGAAACCAAGAGCTGAGTGCTTAACCGACTGAGCCACCCAGGCGCCCCTAGAAGCCTGTTTTTATTGCACTGTTTTTGTTTCTTCTGAGTCTAGGCTCTACTCCTAACTTTGGCTAAATCACTTGAAACCAATGGGCCACAAGATACTAAATAGGGGTTTCATCCTTTGTAACAGACATTCTGACAACTGCAGTTTCCATTTGGTTCAATGGCAAACTAACTACCATTATGATACATGTGCCAAAGGTGGTATGTTTGGTTCCAAGTTCGCATCTTCTTGTATAAATTCTGCACTGCCCATATGTTGTATGTATTATAAACTTATCTTCAAGTAGGTTTTTCTTTTTTTTAATGTTTTTAGTTTTGAGAGAGACAGAGAGTGAGTGGGGGAGGGGCACAGAGAACAGAACAGAATCCAAAGCAGGTGCCAGGCTCCGAGCTGTCACGTGGGGCTCAAACCCACGAATCGTGAGACTGTGAGACCATGGCCTGAGCCCAAGTCAGACACTCAACCGACTGAGCCACCCAGGTGCCCCCCATATGTTGTATTTAATGTTGTTTTTTTTAATTTATTTCTGAGAGAGAGAGAGAGAGAGAGACAGCATGAGCAGGGGAGGGTCAGAGAGAGAGGGAGTCACAGACTGAAACAGGCTCCAGGCTCTGAGCTGGCAGTCAGCACAGAGCCCCACGCGGGGCTCGAACCCACGAACCGCGAGATCATGACCTAAGCGAAAGTCGGACGCTTAACCAACTAAGCCACCCAGGCGCCCCATATGTTGTATTTAAAATATCAGTCCTGCCTTCAAGGACTGATATGTCAGTTAAAAAAAATTTTTTTAAGTGTAACAAGGGAGTACTGGAGCAGTTAGAAATTATCTTTGTAGGCTTGTTTCCACAAGCTGAAAGGAAGCTTTCTATAGTAGGTGGTAAACTGCATATAAAATAGGGGAAAGGCAGACATAGGTCTATGGACCAAACTCTGTACGGGGCCCTTGCCTATTTTTAAATCCCTTTTCACAATTTGCTAGGCACTGTACAAAGCAAACAACCCCCCCTCCCCCAAATATATGGACACAAGACAGGGAAAGAGGAAAGACCACTTCCCTAACCAGCTCAGAGTAGCTGATCATAACCCAAAGTCGTTCACAGAATGGTCTAGGGCTGAACTACTCGCCTTTCCTCAAAGCGCCTCATGACCTGCTGAAAGCACTTTCCCAAATGCCTTAGACCCAGGAATCTGACACCCACTATGCTCGCTTCACCAAACAGTGACTCAATCTGCCTTACCTGAACCAAGGGACTAATCCTGAAGCTCTAAACTGAAAAATACTGTATGGATTCAAATAAAAAAACTCAGCAGTTTACCAAAAAGGGGGAAGGGCACCCAACAGCATTCAGAAAATGTTAACATTTTATTACTTAGCATTGTTTCACTGTTAATAGTTATTGTACATAACCCTGTTACTGAAGGTCATTTCACCCAGTGGCTGCAACATGGCCTGAAATTTTAGCAGCACCCGTTTTATACAAAATTTCTTTTTCCACAGAATTAGACACATCAGAAAAATCATTTCAGTGAAAAATGTTGGCGTGGTAGAAATACCCTTTTACAGAGTACAATGTCAGAACAGTACTTGAGAAGGCAAGATTCTTTAAGTCCCAGGAGTTAGCAAACTGAATGACTAGCTCCACAGCTGAAGGGAAAGATCAGAGATTTGCAAGTTTCTGACCTTTTACATATGGTACTGTGGATGAATCAGTACTCAGCACTGCACAGCTCCACAGAGAACGAAGGCTGCTGGGAAAAGAGTGTGGCTCGTGGGTGGGGGGAGGAGAGCCGGTTCTAATAGTCCTCCAACTCCACTCCAGCTGTTCCTGTTCCACACGGCCCAGCGAGCGGGCCCGGTCCCCTTCACTCAGTGTGTCACCAAAGGCAGCTTCAAGGCTCAATGGCAAGAGACCACCTATAACCTCTTCACCTTCTGCTGCCTCTTCCTGCTGCCACTGACTGCCATGACCATCTGCTACAGCCGCATTGTCCTCAGTGTGTCCAGTTCCCAGACCAGGAAGGGGAGCCACGGTGAGACGCCAATCCCCAGGCCCTGATCTGCACCCTGAAACTATGGCCTCTAGCCCCATTTACTGATCTGAGAGCTACCACCACCCAAAGTGACTTCACAACCCTATCTCTAGTGCCTGATGCTGCAAGTATTTGCTAATTGCCTTCAACTCTAACCAGCCTCTAGCGCTCCCCGGGGGCTGAGTGAGCTGGGCAAGGAGAAAGGAGAACGCCGATCGGTTTTCTCCTTTAGTCTCGGATACCATCAAGTCTTCAAGAAGACTTAGTAGCTTCACATAACACAGCACCTCTATCAAAACCTTTTCTCCAGCACGTTTGTCATAATCCTTACGACGGGGGGATGGGGGAGGCATTTAGTTCCAGTTTGGGAAGGGAAGAGGGCTTACAGCATTACCTATTTGCCATATTCTCTCCCTCGTACTGGGAGAGCTCCAGCTCACTGTCTCTGCCACTCATCTGTTCACCCTACACTCAACTCAGAAGCGGAGCGGTTCTCAATTTGAGTATGTTTTCTAAATTCCTAGCCCCTGTCGGTGAATTTGCCCTCCGTCGCTCCTCAGACAATCGCTCCCGGGTTCGTGTGCGGGCCCTGAGACTGGCCCTACTCGTCTTGCTGACCTTCGTCCTCTGCTGGACACCTTACTACCTGCTAGGCCTGTGGTACTGGTTCTCTCCCACCATGCTCACTGAAGTCCCTCCCAGCCTCAGCCACATCCTCTTCCTTTTTGGCCTCCTCAATGCTCCTCTGGATCCCCTCCTCTATGGGGCCTTTACCCTTGGCTGCCGGAGAAGGCACCAAGAACTCAGTATGGACTCCTCCAGGGAGAAAGGTTCTGAGAGAATGCCCCACCAGGAGACTCAAGCCCTTAGACAGCTGGAAGTACAAACAAACGTGGCAGCAAGGACAGGAGAAATAAAAGAGACATTCCTATAACGTCCACTTGCCCAGGACAGAGTATATAGGAACAGAACAATTATTCTTTTAATATCACAAGAACATCTCGCTCCTGCCTGTGCTCTCTTAGCTTCCACGAAAAAGAAACACCCGGCAGTGTTCTCTACTTTGACCCAAGCTGAAACCTGAAGACGCTAGCTAATGTAAAAAATCGCACAGAACTGAGTCCCTCGAAGTATCTCCACAGTGACCCATACTGCCTTACCATAACTAGTGCTTCAGAGCTTGCAATGTTAGAACAAGAAAGTAATTTTAAGTGTACAAAACAAAAATGAGACATTTATTCATAACTCAAAAAACCCCCAAGACACCACCAACCCACAATCAAGCCGAGCGAGAGTTAAATATAAACACGGTGAGACACCTGGCAAATTCCATCCCGGCCCTATGTCTCCAAGGCTGCGTGATCAAAAAGAATCTCTGGAGAGAACACCTGGGTGACAGAGGACCAGTCAGCGCCGCCTCCGGTCCGGACTCCTGCTGCGTCTTCGGCCACCTCTAGGAAAAAAAAGAATCCATCAAAGGAACATAATACTACATACTTATGTTCCCTTCCCCATGATAGTCTGCCCTCTCCACTTTACCTCCTCTTGCCCTTGGGTGGACCCCGAACAAAACACCAGTCCACACTGATCGGCTGTCCCATCAAATCCTGGCCATTGAGTCCCTCCATAGCCGCCTGGGCCTCTTTGTATGTTTCATACTCAACCAGAGTGTACCCCTAGGACAGGTGAGAAAACAGAGATGGACACCCTCATAGTCCACCAAATACCACTGAGTACTTTATTCCTCAAATCTAAGCCCACACTTAAACAAACTTTAAACAAAGAATGTACATCATATAACTGTACTGTAAACACAAAATGTCTGTTTCTTTTCTGTGTCCAACAAAATCAAGGGCCAACCTCATTTTACTTCTTGGCCAATCAGGTGGGAGAACTCCCCAAATGCTGTCAAAGGTTGTGGGGGAGGAGAAGCAACAGACTGTCACTTAGGATACCTTCAGGTATCCTGTTCGCCGGTCCAGGTTCAGGTGGATGTTTTTGATTTCTCCGTACTCTGCAAATTTGTCATGGATGTCTTCCTCAGTGGCCTCCTCGTGTACTCCGGTGACAAACAGAATCCAGCCTTCAACAGCTGTTGTGGACGGGAGGAAGAAGGAGCACACCGAGAAAAAGTTCAAGCAAGATCACAAGAGTGGGGCTGGGTGCGGATTCCAGAGATTGTTTAAGCTATCTCTGACCCATTCCTACTTGGTTTTATTTTACTAGTCCATAGCTGACTACAAACACAGCCCTACAGGCCCCACTTAGTACTTACAGCGCTGTGGTCCGGGTTCATCACCATCCTGCTCCACGCTGTCATAATCCTCACGCATCCGCGCTCGAGACCCTTCTTCTATAAGGAACATACAGGAGATCACCGGAAATCTCTTCTCCCACGGTTCCCCAGGAGTCCGAATGGGGACCCCGAAACTCGTAGCTGTCGCCCTTCTAAACCCACTTTCCCGACACACACTCACCGGAGCCAAAGCCGCGGCCCTTCCGTTTCTTCGCCTTTTCTTTCAGTTTGTGGATGCTCTCTGGAGCCCCAGAAGTGAAAGAAGGAATAGCAAGGACAGTTATGTAGAACAACAGTCTGTCTCCGAAAACATTATCAGAAGGGATTCCCACCACCTCCAATCCCATTCCCTTCCCAGTCCCGCCCCCTTTCCTCCCGAAGGGGGCGCAGTCTCTAATCCAACCGCAACCCGGTTCCCCGACTCCCATCCTCCCTGCCGGGAAGGGAAATTGTTTTCCTTTTACACCCTTCTCTCGCACCTTCCCCGCTTCCCGCAGCCGCCTCCACCGTCCTCACCGTCCCCATCCTCATCCATGGCGAAATCCTCGCCCCCAGCCTCATGAAGATCCAGCACGTCCGCCATCTTGCCCCTCTTCTTACTCTCGTCCGTGCCGCTCAGGAACTATGCACCTCGGGAAACTGTCGCGGAGGGGAAAGGTCGCTAGTCACGTTGGCCAATCAAGAGCTAAGTCTAAGTCCCGCCCTAGGCGCGGCGGAAATACGCAATGGGGGCGGGCCTAGTTGGGGAAGATGCCGGAAGTGCTCCTGCAGCCATCTTGAAGGGGTGGTGAGCTGAAAAGAGCGGCGCTGTGAGGGACAAGCTAACGGGTGGGTCACGACATTGGCGCCCTGGCAACTAGGGCACCCGAGGAGAAGTTCTACAGCCAGCGAAGCACAGCCGAATTTCTTTATTACAGGATTGTTTTCCGTCTCTTTGAACTCCATACTAGGAAATGGAATGCTTTTTATCTCAAAATTTCAAGACTTGTCCCCCGCTCTGAAGAGCAGCTGGATCTGTGATAGAAATATTTTAAAAATAGTT